CTCGCCTTTGTGTATGCCACGCGGGACTTCTTGTAAGTAGTAGTCACAATGCCGGAAACCTCAAACTTGGGTAATTAAACTGTTTATCATAATTATACAACAATTATGGCATAACAATACAACTGTACAGTTAATACAACAATGATACAAGTAATGAATAGGCGCAGCCTGATTTCTTGTGTTCAGGTTGCTCAAGAGTGAAGAGGTTGTCATAAGACTTCGACCACATGAGATCGATGTGAGGAAAGGATATGATGATTTGGACAGCATTGCTGTGACCTGAGCTAGTCAGCCGTGGAGCCGTTTATATACCTTTTGGGCTGGGCGGAGTCAGGCTACAATAGGCGGAGTCGCGTTACAGTAAATGGAGTGGGGTGACAGTAGGTGGAGTCAGGCTACAGTATGCGGAAGGACGGCTGCCGGAAGCATTTCACAAGCGTTGCAATCTGATAAGGCGATAGTCAAAGCATAGGACTGTAACTGCAGATGTTTTTCATGAGATAACCGCCAACGAAATGTTAGCCATGTGGTTATCGGATCGTCATAAGGTCACCGGAAGCCGTATTCGAAAATGTTTGACATGAGGTTGTAATTGATTTACATAGAGAACATTCCATTATTCGTAAAGAATGTTCTCTATAAACCGATAATGCAGTACAGTTTCATGAAAATTGAATGTTTTCAGTGAGAAGATTTTCAGATGAAATTTGTCCTGGCCCGTCTTCGGCCCTGTTCCGTCCCGAACAGATCATCAATGGTAAAGAAGATGCGGCTAACAATTACGCACGAGGACACTACACCATCGGAAAAAAACTCATAGACGTTGTTCTCGAAAAAATCAAAGAGCAGGTTCCGAATCCTTTCTGATAGCTTATCCCTTCTGGAAACTTGAGGTGGCCGAGTCGTCAAGGTAGTCATAGAAATTGATTAGATGATAACAGTTTTACAGGCGGAGAACTGCATGGGTTTGCAAGGTTTTATAGTGTTTCATTCTTTTGGCGGCGGCAGTTGCAGCGGAGATTTCTTATGAAGAGATTGAGTGCCGAATATGGGAAGAAGAGCAAACTCGAATTCGGGCTAAAAAAAAAAAGAATAAAGCTGTCGACGTTGATGAGTCCCTTGCGGATGCATTATGCAGTCGACTTCAGTGATCATCGTTGGAAGTGATTGAAAGTATATCTTACCTTTACGATGACTCACGGATACCAACCTATGCACCGAGCAGTGCTGCTATCCTCCCAGACAACTCTGGTAGCAATTTCCTGATCCCGGAGAGATGGAAAGCTTGGTGAGCCATGGGCGCGGGATCGATCCCATGTGTATTGCAGAGCGCCTCCGACCACCGCGCTACACGCGCTCACGAATTCATATTACCGTACAAAATTCGAGCCTAACTTATTTCTAAATTTGGAGCTAAAATAACACTATTTTTTTTGGGGGGGGGGGTTGCAGGATAATCCAGCTACAGCCGTTTAGCAATGACTTTTCTCCTTTCTCTTTATTTCTGGCGTGCCTTTTTTCTTTGTGTCCTATATATACATATATATATATATATATATATATATATATATATATATGTCGTAAACATACTGTGCAGTAGGCACACTTCTTATTCTACTCGGAGTCAGAACGTGTTTTTATTTGACGGAAGCAATGAGTTCCAAATGCAGTTAGAGCTAGATGAAGCAAAATATAATTTCCGTTATCTGTGATTTATACTAGCTGTTCTCTTGTGAATCCACCCGTTCCTCGAGGTCCATAGGGCTATCCTCGCTCTAACAGCACGAAGAGCATCAAGTTTTTCTTTCGCGATTTTGCTGTGGAACTCTTGTTATCGGGTTTGTAGTCTATTTGAACGTTTGTCATTCATGAAATTCGATTGCTAGAGACTCCTGCCCAATACGTTAAGGCCTAACTGATTTTTGCCACATTGGTGTATATGATGGCAGCTTCGATTTTCGATCGTCGATGTTGGTGTCCGCTTCATATCGCCTTTTTTCTTCTTTGCGTAATAAATGACACTAATTGCATTACTATCTCTATAATTCTTTGAAAATACTGATGGATTGTCCATTCTAATCGCATAGTGCTGAGGTCCTAAAAACGAAAACTAAAGAATTGTAGGACCGCTTGAGTCACTATAGCAAGCAAAACCTTCTGGGTTGTTCTTTAATACCGGACAGCAACAAATGCAGATTCCACTGACCCCCTCTTGAGTCACTTGGTCACAACGACGGAACATATAATATAGATTACACTTTACACGAAGAGAAAATAGACACGAAAAAGGTGAGCGAGAAAGCCATGTCGGTTTCCTCAGTTCCATTTCGCCATACAAGTGAGCCCTTAATCATGTTTACATCCTGGGTCGTAAACCTACGTGTGTTTCACTCAGATATGTTAGCCCTGCCGAATCAAAACCAAACGAATGAACACTGATTTTCTTAGATTCAACCAAAAAGCCGGTCTTTCTAAGTGTTCGAGATCGATCAACATTTACTCCAAATTAGTGACCGAATTTGTAGAAAGCGTCATCATTGGCAATGTGAAGATGCAATAGCTGCAGGCTATCGAATTTCACTCTCTTGAACTGCTTCGTCGAGATTTTACGGATCGTTCAATGCCAACTTACTGGAGTTCCAGGTTGCCCAACCATGTGTTGAGGTTTAAAGGTATCTCACTCATAAGTTCACCTTGCAGACAAATCTCTTTTCCTATCCATGAATTCACTTCCCAATTGCCACCTGTGCACCTGTGAAATCTGCTAAAAAGGTGACTATTCTACTCTTCTAGTCAATTTCTTTCTCATCCTTACAAACTTTATATATGGTCGTAGAACGCTGTTACACATTCCTTGCCAATTCAATACTTATAGATTAAAAGTGCATACCAAGCAGCACGTTCTACGAACAAATGACATGAAATAATAGGCCTAACGGCCTTCTTCTTTACAATAACTTTGTATTCCATTGGCTTCATAGTCGGAATTAACTATCAAGCTGGGGCAGTGGTGTAAGGCGGAGAAGTGGCCAAGGTGGGAATCATTCGTATTACATAGCCTGGACGAAAATTGCACACAGGCTAAAGGTCATTTTTTTAAACAACAGACTTCTGTCAAAAATCAAACAAGAAGTGCTATAGTGCATTCTTCGGTCTAAATAGCTAGTTTAGTTCTTTTTTCACGCTCTTTTTGGCACATCTTTACTTTATTACTCGACATGACTGGAGTGGTTTATAATCTTCTTCTTTTGTCGATGTACTCGTCAATTCTCCTCACTAATGGATTCAAATAATGGTAGAATAAATTCTGAGCTCCCATAGTCTGCGGCAGATAGAGGTAGAGGAGGAATGTCACCTGGAAACAGATACTTGAACTCTTATCACCTGTATTCTCGCTTCGTTTTATTTTTTCTTTTCTCCATTCAATTTTTTTGTCACCTGGATTATTTCTTGTATCTCAAATCAATAAAAAGAACACAGCCACTGAAACCGCGCCATCATGAACATCTTGCGTAATATCGAGTTGTTATCTAAAGAGTATGAGCTACATATAAAGCTAAAGGGTAAAGGTCTCGGTTGATCAATCCCTGAGGCATGCATTCGACTTCGCTAAGTTTCGTCTATAGGTGATTGAATGCATATCTGGCCTTTACAATGACTCGCGGTGGCCTATGGATGAATCGAGTCAGTGCTGCTGTCCTCCTAGACGAGTCTGGTACCAATTTGCCGACACCGGAGGAATGGAAGACTTAGTTGGCCACGTGCGCGGAGATCGATTCCACGTGTTTTGCAGGGCGTCTCCCACCATTGCGCCACACGCGCCCTTCCACGAACTACATCCTTTAGTACAGAGCTACAAATTGTTCCTTTTGAAGCTTTTGTATCTCAGAAAAACCGAGCCATATGGTTTGGGCTTCGTTGTACATACATGGATAGTGCACTTTTCAGTAGAGATAGATGAATGATACTTTTGAACATTTGTGATGGGACATTGTTTTCTTTCTTGGTAGTAATGGAAAGATAAGGTGTCCCGCCAAACTCGTTGATTTATTACACAGTGATGTGCCATGGATTCGACTCCATCAAACATCTTGGAGGTGGTTGAATGGATATTTTGGCAATACAATGAGTTTTGGGGACCTACTAGCGTATAAAATCAACCTTGCTTTCACCTGAGGTCTGGTGCTCTCGTTGGTCGATCATGAAGAACTCGCTTATAACGTGGAGTGGGACACAACCACCAATTATGTGTGCGTTCTTTCAACTTTTATTTGCTGCTCATTTTTTCATGCCATGATATTATGTGAAATACCATACCATTGATGCTGACATGTGGAAAAAATCCGATCTTCAGGTGCGCTTCGAACTCGCGACTACCGTTTTCCAGGACTCACGTGTTTATCCACTGCACCACCGAGGCACGTGCTTTAGCTTATTTTTGGGCAGTTTTTTTTACCCTAATGGTTCTATAAGCAATCACCCGTCAGTGAGAATGACCTGATAAGCACAGCTTGAACTCATTTAACCTGAAACTTGTCGAAATCACATCTTTGAAAAAAAGAAGTTTGTAAACAAGGTAGGCAGTAAATAGAAGCTGAACACTGTGATTTTCACTGCAGCATCGGCCTAACTGGGTTCAGTTTGTGCTTCCATGATCATTCCCGTTGACGGCTTATTGCTGATGGAACCGTTAGGGTAAAAAAAAAACAGACTAAAAAAGCTAAAGCATGGACCTCGGTGGTGCAGTGGATTAACACGTGAGCCCTGGGAAAGGTCGTGTGTTCGAAGCGCACACGAGCGTCGGAGTTTTCCTCACGTCTCAGCATCATTTTGTGTATTATATGGAATCGCCGACCACCCACAAGCGACAGAGGGTAGTAAAATTCTCAAAAGCCTTTAGTCATTGGTAATTATTAAAATATTTACAGGATGCACTCTCGAGTTATGGGTGACCTGTCTTTTCCGTTCCCATATTTCACCATTGCTGCGTTTTGGAAATGCTGCATCAGCAATAGCAAATATAGTGCTCCTATATTCTTGCTTCATTTGTATTTAATCACTGTCTGTGTTCTGTAGCAACACTATGGATAACGCTAAACAAGAAGCTCAATAAAGCTACCAATTTTAGTTGTTAGCAATACTTATTTCTCAACGTGCCTCCACCACCACTTATTATCCTTGACCCAGTCGATACTCATCTTCTGCACGATCATAGTTTTTCTCGCTTCTTTATTATCGAAGCAACAAAATTCATTCCTCAGTGCTCACCTTGAGTAGCCAGTAGAACGGAAACCACTGCATTATTCCGGTGGCGAAGAAATCGAGAAGTGAGAAGACGGCGAACACGCACCAGTAAATAAGCCATTGTGTGTCATCACTGGTGTCCTGTGATCGTACAGCCTGAATAGGTAGTACTTGAGTTAAACTGATGTTGACCTCAAACAGAGGGCATCGTAGCTATCCGTAAATGGTAGTTTTTATGGTAAGTTTCGCTACAATATTTTTTGTTTTAGCTTGAAAACTGTTTAGCAACAACAGTAGTTATTGGAATCGATACCTTATTGTGACTTACTTCTGTGAATGTCCTAAAACTTCCCTTAATCGAAGAAGATATTGCAAGAAAGAAAAAACAAGGCGATCTTCTCGGTTAACAACAAATTGGACCACCTTTAGCTTGTTTTTGCCTCTCAGTTTTACTATAAGTAGAGGAACCAAAAGCTGCACCAAATTTTCAGACTTGTTTAGCTGCACTTATCTGCATCAGTAAAAAGTATTTTCTGCCTGTATGCTCCTTATTCATCTATTTCTCCTCCACTATTTCATCTGGAAATTGTTGCGGTTAGTGAACGAACTCTTCTTTATCACCTTAACACTGACGTATGCCGGATACGCGAAGCCAATCAAGTTGCATACCAACTGGGCGGCTGAGCCGATAATCAAGTATAACGCCAACAAGGCGATCAGGCCGTATGCAATCTGCAAAAGAACGATCAATAGAACTCAAATAACTCTCATACACTGTGAATATGCAAAGATGAAGAGGTAAAGAACACGAAGAACTCCACTGTTTAATTCTCCTATTTGAGATTATAAGAAGTAAAAATTAATGCGTTCGACTTTGATCAAACAAATAGAAATAAACGGTGCATTCTAGCTGATGACACGCCTTGGAGCAGACATTTAGACACAGGTTTGCAAGGTCATTCGGAGCTGTCACTTCAGTACTTGCATTTTCCAGAATAGTCTGATATCATTTTGCCGAAATTTGACAGAGTTTGATGAACCCAGTCGTAGTTAGAAACTATAAACAGTTGTCGGTGGGAAGAGTACACGACAATTTCAGTGCATTTTATGCCAATCGATCGGCAGTGAGGGTCAATGATGGCGGAAAACTCATAACATGACCACAAAATGGAATCCGGCCATAATTTGTGATAGACATTTGCGGTAGACCTGGTTGTGGACTTGGTTGTAACTTCGAAAAAATGTCATTCTTAGGAAAGAAATTGGGAAAAATGCTACTAATCATTACCGCGCCTTTTTTTAGTAAAGAAGAAAATCACAACCTTCTCTCTTGGCAAAGTAAATAACGATTCTGCCATTCCAACATTTTCCTCACACATTTCACCATGGTTGGCATATAAGAAGTTAACAAAATCAGCCTAAAATCTAAAATTGATCTAGCATCAACTGTGGCGGTCCCTTAGGATCTAGTACTCGCCATGGCGATGGTTTCGTCGTACACTTTACCAATAATTCAGGAAGGTTGAATTGAGAATTTTGCCCATGCACTTCGGCATCGACTCGTTGTGGAAATGATATGTATTGATCAGCAAAAGGTTTCGATAACTCCTTTCCACGAGCAGCGCACATTAGTTCTATGGATGATAGTGAAGAGACGTTCTTCGGCACTACGTAAAATACGCTGTTTTCGAGCAAAGTGAACTAGAAACGTCCTCAAATTTGCGCTGTGAGTTCATGCTTAATACCAATCTTCCCAAAATATCAATTTCCTCAACGATTTCGGCCGCATCTTTGAAACGAAAAAAGAGAACGTAGACATTTGTGGACATAAATCTTTCGAAGCACTTCATCTGGCGGAAATTGACGAAAAAAAAAGCAAACTGGCTCAGTATTAATTACTCTTCTTATTTATGAGACTTACATGGACTCTCTCAAAACCGGTCACCGGTGTTCTGTTGGTGCTGCTGGAACTGCATGCGCTGAGTCTGCTTGCCATTCGATGAAATCTTTCTCTACCTATCATAATTAGGGCTATAAGTGCTTTTTGCATTCTACTATTCTCCTTAATATACCTTTACCTTATCAGTATAATCGACAGTTGGTAACGATTGATATCAGTATGCAGTCAACGCGTCATTTGGATTATCCATTATTATCGAGATTATATGGGGTACGTGCGGCCGAATTTTCCCGTTGTCGTTGTTACGTATTATGAATGGGATAATAGCAAAAATAAAGGAAAAAATGAAAGCAGATGAACAGACTGGAGATTCATGACCTCGTCTTGTCAAAAATCCTGATCACAGTTGTCATTTTTCCGTTGGTCATCATAGTCTCAGTGGGATTCATTAGATGTCAGAGGTGCACTGTAGAAGATCTACTGCTTTGCTTTGAAATATATAGTAGAAATGAGTGTACAGCATCTTTACAGCGGTGACGTACTCACCTCCTCTCAAGAGACGCGCCTGTTCACTAGTTCTTATGCAGAAGTGCATGTATATAGTTGGTCCATGGAACAGCATGGCCAAGATGCCAATGACACTAAGTAAAAAATTCGTATTAGACAAACCAACTCCTGAATTCTTAAGTCACCAACGTCTCGAATGAAGCGATCGTTGGAGTGAAATTTCTGGGTGAGATCCACCACTGCCAGTGATGCCCTCATCCATTGATTTGCGCCATCACTGAGAACATCAACAACACAATTAATTGTTATAAATTGTTCTGTCTCTAAGTGGATCCAAAAGGCTTAAAAAAGGGCCGTTTTTAATTTGATGACGCTAAAACTGTTTAGTCAAGGTTAATCCGTTTCTGAAACAAACCCTCTCTTCAGGTATCACTTCTGTAGTGTTAAAACAGACCTTGTGTGGGACATCTGATATAATACACATTTATCCACTTAGCGGATGTATAATTGAAGTACGACAATGCTAATGCTCTATATGGGAAAGTTGATGCATATATATATGTTTATGTATATATATATTTGTATATTCTTCATTATTCCCTCATCATTTCATTCTTTTTCTATATATATATATATATATATATATATATATATAAATGTATATATATATATATATACATATATATATATGACATATACATATTTGTTTGATACTTGATGCTTGAATCACTCGTCACTGGTTGTGCGGGTCCAGCATAGGCTCCGTTTTTTCCGAGATTTGCTGGTTAAGCCACTATGTGTACCTGGAATCCCGATGTCAGCCTGGCCAAAATCTGCCCCAGGTCTTCACCACCACACGCAGTCGCAGTCTTTGTGGATTAGAGGGAGATTTGCCACCATGCGACTTTGATACCAGGGCGTTGGTGGATCCTGGTATTGGTTTACTCTCAGCTTCCTGATAGAAACGCTGGACTCCTCAGCTTGTGAGACCCTGCCACGGGATGAATCCCCCGCTATGCATCGCAGTCCGACACCTAGGAGCACTTCACGATGAGGCGGTAAACCGTTGGCGATATATATAACCGTTACGCAGCGACCAGGTTTCTGACGCATATGTTAGGGCAGGAAGTACCGTTGAGTCGAAAAGGTGGGCACAGAGTAGGATGTTGTTTTTTCTCTTCACTACATTCTCCATGCTCTCGAAAGCTTCCCAAGCCGCTCATTTGCTTCTGCTCAACTCTGGAAGAGCTAAGTCGTTTATCACGTTGGTTTCGCGACCTAGATAGCCGTAGCTGAACGTTCGGAAGTATTCATCTCCCTAAGTAGAAATGGGGCATAGATAACCAACTCTTTCCTCATAAACACCGTTTTTTGCGAGATTGGTCGAGGACCATTCTTTCTAAAGGCTTTATTAAAGTCGGCAAGCATTGGTTCCACTTGGTTAATGTTTGGTTTTATTAGAACGGTTTATCAGAAGGTCATCAGCAAAGGTTGCCCACATCGGTTTTCATTCCCGTGTTGTCGCACCCCAGTGTTTGCATGACGTTTTGGAAGGTGACGGTAAACAATTTTGGCGAGATGGTATCGCCTTGCTTAACCTCTCTTTTGAAGTCGATGTTAAGATTGTCGTAGAATGGTGGTATCTATGTTGTTAAATTCTTATATAACTCACTAGAAATCTTTATGTGTTGACTCCCTGATTGTCTAGGTTTTCTATGACTGCCTCTATCTCAACTCATTCAAATTCTTTCCTTAAACCGATGAAAGCGAGACAGAGCGCCCTCCTCTACTTTAACGAGACTTCAAACAATCTCGTCATCACGTGGATGTGGTCCACCGCACTAAACTCGTTTCGAAGCTCTGCTGCCTCTCATGGTTGTGTTTCTTCCAGCTTTCGGTGAAATCTGTTCACAGTGACTCGACTGAAGAGTTCGTAGACTGCAAAGATCAAGCCCACTGGGCCATGGTTGAGAGTTCACGCTTCCTGAACAATGGCGCGGTATTACTGGTCTTCCACTTAGTGGAAACCTTGGATTCAGACTACAAGAAGGTTCTTCACGTGTTCAGATCTTTCTGTCCGGAACTGGCGCTGATGGATTTTTCACCGACGAAATAGCATGTCGGATTTTGGAGCGGAGAACCGGTGATACGACATATCCATCCTTCTTTGCTTAATACAAGGAAAAGATGTCATTGGCTATTGAAGACGAGTAGTAGTTGTGAATTATTATGGCCTTTCTGGAATCTGTAACTGTTTTCTCTGGGCTTCAGAGTGCAAACATCTTGATTTTGTAAATGGCGAAGCTTCGGTGGGCTGTGCAAATGCTTTTCTCAGCCTCTGGCTTTCCGACCACAACTGCTGCTGTGCTCTCTTTAAGATCTTTTTTAATTGTCCATCTGAACTGTTTTGCAAGTTCGGACGCGAGTTGGCAGCTGCCCGTAGCTCGTGCCAAGGAGGCAGACATCTTTTGGTGACTTTCGAACTCTCAGCTTCCATAGCACTAACGTGAAGATGTTGAATGGGCCGATCGTATTTCTCTAGATGGTATTAAAAAAGTATCTTTCCATGGGCCGACTAATGAGATAAATAAATCCCAGTTTATGATGGTTTCGGGAGCTCATTTTTGAAGATAGCGACTTTTTCTCCTTTCCACGAGAAATGAAATTTTGCACGAAAGAGGTGGTGGTCTGACTCCATATAGAATTGTGGGAGAAGCGCGACATCGGTTAGGGAAAGCCTTTGGTTTATTAGTTCTTCTTGATCCAATGTTGGCGTTAAAACCTCCAGTGATGACCTTGAAGAATGTGTGGTCTTCTCTGTAGAACTTCTCCAGGTCCATATAGAACAGTTCGACTTCGTCTTCGTTGTAGCTTGATGTAGGTGCGTATACTACTAAGAATGTCAAAGTCGGTATTGATCCACATATCTTCAATCATAAACCTCTGTTTGGGTTGTTAGTTGTTTGACTGAACCGATATTCATTGCCAAATTCGTGTTGACGAGAACGCCGAAAAAGAAGAACTGTTTTTCTTTCCCCTTTGTTTCCTAATTAATGTATTGGTTTTCAACACACATAATAAATGATTAACAACAATTGGTGCGCTCCGTGTTTTTACATCTGGTGACCTCTCCTTCTTAACTTTTTTCTTAACGAAACCGAAACCGATGTCTAGTGGTCTTTTTCGTTGGAGCGACCTCATCCTCTACTTTCTGCTCCACAACACATCTCCTCGACTCCATCTTTTCCTCTTCACACTTCTATAGCTTCTTTGTTGCTAATGTTGTCTCCTACTCTAAGAGGGCAGATGTTCATTATTGAGATCGTGAACAGTGTGGGCGATTCAGATCTCTGCATGGAGTTATGATCGGAACGTCTTGTTTTCACTTTTTAAAGTAAATGGCGAAGTGTGTGTTGTTTATAAGGCCAGACTTCATATACTGTCCTGGTATCTCCGCACCAATAATGCAGCATGATCGAATGTTACTCGAGGAATTTGTCCACTACACGAATCCCGTTGAACGTAGCTAAAGTAGATCCTCATTTGAATCCAGACACCATAACAATTTGCTGACTCCTAAGGGATAAAAGTTTTGACGTCTCGGTGCGAGATCGAACCATCAGCGATGCCCAATTTATTGCACGGTGTTTCTAACCACTGCACTTAACACACGAAATTAAAATAACAGTGACACATAGTTAAATGATATACCAGGATTACTACGAATAAATTACCTTTTCATGTCATCACAACTAGGGATTCCACTTAATGGCTCTTAATATCATGTGAGCATAGGTTAATAAAATCTATTCAAAAAAATCACTGAAGCTGTTCAGTGCTCTCAGTGTTCAATAACTTCGACTCGAAACACTCAGGTAAGTAGTGGAGTTGTTGATATTCAATATGATGGTAAACCTCAATGTGTAGCTGAATTCGTTCATTCTTTGGAATTTTGCTGCAGACTTTCCTCATCCGTTGTCCCTGGAAGTCATTGCCGTTGGTGAAGTGCATGTTATCCGCTTCCTCGGAGAACATATGAGTGAACGATGAGCACGACTAACTACGTTAATAAGTTCTACCAACGCAATTTCGTGAATTCTTAACATAAGTAAGTGCCAGTGGTTCTGTCTAATAGTCGTGGTCCGTTGAAAAAGATTTAAATCGAACCACTACGGATTTCGCTCGATATCCCATTAAAAATGCCAACTATAAGGCATTAAACCGCTAATAGTGGATGGAAAGAAAATATCTGAAAGTTAATGTCAATTTTCTTTTCCTTCCAATATATTCCACCAAACATTTTCTGGTCAAGTTCTGTTGTCCCGAAAGTCATTCACTGCGCATTGCGCTGATTTTCCCCTCCGAACCGATTTCTCGGAAGAATTTTATCATCTGAATATCGAACCAACGAGGTGTTCGGAGCCGCTGAGGTTGGAGGGACGCGTGCCCCTCCCGCCAAGCTGCGATCATCTTCCGTCCAGAGCTCCGATCAGCGGAATCGAACTGTCGTCTCTCTCTGACGTTCCCTCACTGTCCCTCTCATTTCCACCCAGTGCCTCCTCTTCCCCCATTGAACTAGTTAGCAATTA